AGGTGCATGTTCACACAATGACCCGGATGCCTTCTGCCATATTGTGATATTGAGGAGCTATGTCCTCCATAAGTAACCAAGATGGTAGAGCTGTTGGGACAATTGTGGGTCCTTTGAGAGTTGGAGCCTTACTAGAGGAAGTATATCACTGGGATGTATGTCACTTTGAGTTCTTATAGTCTTATTTCACTTGCTGTTTACTCTCTGCTTCCTGCCTGCCTCTGAACTTCCTGCCACTTCCTGCCATGTCTCCCCACCATAATGGATTTTTATTCCTCTGAAACCATAAGTACAAAACCATTCTTTGTTGAGTTTCTAAGTTATAGTATTTTTGCCTTGGCAATAGAAGAGTAACTAAGATTCTGCGTCTCTCAGAGCACATCCGGGTCTTTAAGCAGTGTATGCATGCAGGCGAACACGCCACTGGTGCAAATTCAGAAGGCCCAGGAGTGCAGGGACATGGACCCCTTGATGCTCACTTTCTGTGAAAACAGCAGAAATGCCACCAAACATCACTGGGGCCACTCCATCCTACACTTTTTCTTAGACACTGTCCCCTCTACCCCAGGACTTTGAGGTTCTCCCAGTTTCACTATGGGGCATAGCTGAAGTCACTCTAGGTCCTGGAACCCAAGGTGACTCTTCCCCTCAGGACCATGCTGTTTCCAAGCCCAAGATGCTGGATTTTAAGATCTATGATGGGAACTCAGGTTCATGGCCTCTCCTGGACATATCCTCTGGTGTTTTGTAACAGGGCTTTCACATAGGGAGAAGCGTGGCAGGGTACCAAAAGGACAATGTCCAGGTTTTTGTTGCCTGAAGCTGGATTGCTGTGACCCAGGGCCCTTTTCCAAACTAAGCCACCCATCCTAGAATTCCTGTAAGCCACCACTCATTTTTCAGTGGATGGGCCAATTTCCAGAAAGTCTTCTTAGGGAGTTCTCAGGTAGAGCAGGAGTAGGCAGAATGCTGGCTGAGGGCTGCTATGTTCTGGGTGCTGGTCCTTGAATGACTCCTACAGACTCTTAGGCTCTCTGTAGACTCTCTACAGGTTCTTTCAGAGAAATGGATTTGGACATAGATGGTTT